CGAGTCACATGACTTGACTCGAGTCAGACTCGAGTTGCAAATTTGATGACTTGAGACTTGCTTGACTAACATTGGTAAAAGACTTGACTTCACTTTATATTCATCACTTGAGACTTGACTTTGACTTGAGACAGATGACTCGAAAGGACTTGGCTTTAATTCAATATGAAAAGCACACTAAGCACTGTTGGGTGTCACTTCTGTTTACGTTCAACAATGTTATCAAACACAATGGAGCTAGCTCGCCCCTCCCCCCCCTCGTCCTCTGTGACTCTGTCATGAATGAGCGATAGCTGCTAGTTACCCTGGATTTACACACCTTTTCAAGGGATAGTGCATCCAACATGGAAATTCACCCATTATCTACTCACCCATATGCCGAGGGAGGATCAGGTGAAGTTTTAGAGTCCTCACAGCACTTGCAGAGATCCAAGGGGAGAGGAGGTAGCAACAAAACTCCATCTAATGGAGGCTTACAGCGCTCCAGATTAAAACGTCCAAAAACACGTAATTGAAACCACAAAATATCTCCATACTGCTCGTCCGTAGTGATCCAAGTGTCCTGAAGCCCCGACACAAAAAGCTGTTTGGGAAAACTTCATTTGAACTCTGTTTTTAGCCTCATTGTAGCCTGTAGCTCTGACTGCCTCTCTGTACACCGCGTTCAAGTGTGCGCATGTGCATGAGACCGTGAGACATGGGTACCACGTTCATGTGTGTGTGCTTGCTTTCGCTGGTCTCGGGCTGGCTGGTTGGTGCAGCCTGGACCCAAATGTTTTTGTTGCCATTTGCGGAGCCTGGGCTGCCTACAGAGACCGGACTTTTTCACAGCATATTCAGAGGACATGTGGCTGGTGGATCGTGAGGAGATGTTTGCTGTATGTGACATATGACTTCACTTGTGACTTGCTTGATCTGAGCAATGACTTGACTTGACTTGCTTGACTCTCACCACAACTAACTTGGGACTTGCTTGAGACTTAAAGGTAAAGACTTGAGACTTGCTTGTGACTTGCACATGTGTGACTTTCCCCTATGTCTGAGAAAATGTATCTGCAACAATTTTAAAAAACTGACTAATAGAAATAAATTTATCATAGTTGCTTTTTTTCAGGTTGACTGTGTGATATCTTTCTTTGGATAAAAAATAGTCATTTAGCACATATACAGTCATTTTCTATTTTTCAGTGGTCGAAATAATAACCATGTACAGGGACATCTCTGAATGATCTATGCACAATTTTAGTCTCTTATATTAGGATGAGATCCTTCTGGATGTTGTAACCATTTTGTGACTGGGTAGATGATGATGGCTGGATGTGCACCAGGTTTTATGTTTATGTATGCTGTCACTGGTGTTCATTGTTTTATGTAAGATTGATTAGTATATATGTTTGTTATATATGTGTTTTTATTAGTTTTTTCTGTTGTCTTTCAGCTGGCTGCAAGCCAAATTTCCCCTTGGGCACAGTAAAGTTAAAGTTAAGATATGAAACACGAAATTAGACTGATGGTTTAATTAAATCAATTTGTTGATTAGTTGAAGGAATTAAATAATTCCAGCTATGTGTGATGTTTGTGTCAATGCTGGGAGGAACTCACTGGAGTTCTCCGTGGATCTTCGTCGGGAGAGGCGAGGTCTCCCTCCTGTCCGCCATCGTCGTCCTCCTGTGATGCCGTCGGACATGCCTCGAAGTCTGTGTGCCCTAGATCATGCAGGTACTGGAAAAGAGGGGAGTTCTGCAAAGAGAAAGTGAAACAGTCAGAGATGAGAAGGAGGGGAGGGAGTGGAGATCAAGAGACATAAAATAGTCCCAGATGGGGAAAAAAATGTAGTGATTAGGTCATCAGTGTGCTGAGGGTTGAGCTGATTTTGCCCTAGTTTCCCCCCAGTGTGAATCCAAAGGTGTCCTGACTCTGATAAGCGAGCGAACTGAAGTTGAGGCACCACCCTCACCCTCAGCTCCTACCTCTCCTCCATGCAGCTTACCTCTCTGCTCTGGGAGGAATGCTGTAAAGCCTAAGTGCCTTCACATGTGAATCTGTAAATCACTCAGATAGATGTCTTTTGAGCCTCTGAACGCACCATGGAAACTGCACAAGTCATCATGTAATAACCCTGATACACACACACACACACACACACACAGAGGCGATGCTGTTTCTCATCCTGAACAAAGACAGCTCAGAATCAAATTAGCCATGAAATAAGCAGAGAGGAGGAAAAACATCCCGTGCTAGAAGATGTCCAAAAGATGTCTGACCCAGTCCCCCCCCAGCTGCTGGGAAAACATCACTCCTAGCATCTCTGCTGTGTTGTGGTGCTGCTGGACAGCTGCACAGGAGCATCCCAGTTTCATGTAATTAGCCCATCATGACACACTTACATGCCCACATAGCTGTCATACAATTAAATCCTACTCACATGCATTGTCACACGAAGTCGCAGCTCATGTTGTCACCATCCAGACGTAGCTACGTGTGTGTGTGATGCTTTTTTTTCCCCAGAACAGACGCATTGGATCTGGTCATCCCCACCCCACCTCTCAACTAGCAGTCTAGTAGTGATGAAACACCAACAACAATGCGCACACTCGGCCAGATCAGCTTCCTCTCATGACCACCAAAGCTCCTTGGCAGAAACTCAGCGAGCTGCCAGCCAGATATGTGGATTTGTTTGGGGTCGTCAATGCATGGCAACAGGGCAAACCGCTGCTGCTGTGTGGCTAGCTGCTAGCTCGCTAAGCTAACTGTATAAGCTAACTTAGCTGCCGTTAATGAATCTATGTATACGTTACCTCGCAGCTAAGGAGGTATGACAAAGCATTCGTAAGTTTCGATTTTAAAAACACAGCGAGTGTGATACATACCTCAAATACCACATCTTCATCAAACTCCTCAGTCATTGCTCTCCGCCATCTATACACAGCCCGTTTTGCATTCTGAAGTTGTAGGCGACAGTGGTCGGGAACAGCCGTTGAGAAGTTGGTGGCTAGGCGATTGCTAACTTTCGCATAAAACTACAATTCCCATAATGCTCGTCTCTGACCACTGCTTGCGCCACAAGGTGAACATTTTTGGTTTGATTTTCCTTCTAAAACCCACAGTGGTGCAGATTTCTTGCCGACATGTGACTTTGATGTTTCTAAACTATTTAAGAAATACTTTTCCTACAATATTACGTCATCAACAAGTCCTCCATTATTGGAAATTGATATGTAAGCCTAATTTTACCCCACACATGGCCCCTATTTGGAATAAAACAAGTAATTTAGAAAATATATATTATAAAGAGTGGATGGAGAGGAGTATCTGGTCTTTTATTCATTTATTTGATAATCATGGAAACATTTCAACATATAAGATATGAGAAAATATAATCTTGTTTGCACTGATAGGCAATATAACACAGTAATTAAGGCAATTACACAAGCAATATTTTAATTAATTAGAAGCATGTTGATTTATCCTCCAGTTATTACACAAAAGCCTTCACTGATTTAAGATGGATGTAGTTTTTAGTTAAAAAGTGCAATAATAAATTATATAGGATTGTTCTCACCTTAATTTGTTCCCAGTCACCCTTGAAGCAAGGACGTATGTTCCAAGAATAAAGCAGTAATTTGACAGTTAAAATAAGAACCAGATAACTCTCTTTGCTAATTCAACCTAAGGCTGAAGAAGTTCACTTTAAAATGATAAATGGAATTTACACGTAAGTAAGTAATAACTTCTTACACCAAAGGTTTAATTTAGATTCAAATATTTGTACTTTTTGTAACTCAGACATTGAAACCATTAAACATCTTTTTTTGTTATGTAACAAGGACATTTTGGGTTTTTTTGTTAATGTTGACTGATTTACAGTGTTCAAAATAATAATAATAATAATAATAATAATAATAATAATAATAAAATAATAATAATATATGATTCTAAATTATAAAAAAACAGATACCAGATACCTCTCTTTTCCAATTCCACCCAACGCTAAAGAAGTTCACTTTAAAAATAATGAATTAGATTTACACATGTCATGGCTTCTCACACCAAAAGGTTTCATGTAGATTTGATTATTTTTACTGTCTGTAACTCAGACAATAAAACCTTAGAACATCTTTTTGTTTTCTCTTGCAATGTAACTAGAGCATTTTGGGACTTTTTTCAATAATGGCTGACCTATAATGCTCAAAATATTATGACTAAAATATTAAAATATAAAGTTTGTCCAACTGGAGGACAAGAAAGTAGAGTTTGGGATTAATTATTTAATTATTTTGGCAAAATATTTTATACACAAATGTCGTTTTTATAAACTAGCCCAATATTTCCTGTATTTCTATATGAATTAATTGTATGCAAAGAATATATATATATGTATGCATAGATAGATAGATAGATCGATAGATAGATAGATAGATAGATAGATAGATCTTTTTTTTCAAATTTTATTTATTTATTTGTCTTTCATTATTTTTTTTATTTCTGCCTTGTTCGCTCAGGTATATTAAAACTGTATTCTGTATTCAAATGTCAGATGATGTGTCTTTTTTGACTGTAAATAAAAATAAATAAATACATTAAAAAAACAAAAAAAAACAAACAAGAAAACCCTATGCTTAAAAAAAGTGCTCGTGCCAGTTTAGAGCGCCTCTAGTGGGCGCGAGAGGCAGTGGACCAACCGTTTGGAACGGCAGGCAAGAAGATGGGGTGTAAAGTTAGCGGAAGTTAGCTAGCTAACAACAGAAATTGCCTTCAAAATAAAAAGTACACGCTTTTAACAATGTGTGAAACGGAATTTTAGCGACACAGCAGCATTTCTTGCGTTTATATTCATTCAAAATATACAGTCTAACATATGTGTGTGCTTACTTCAGTGGTTTACGTTATATTACAAAAAATACACCAGAACTTCTTCGACGATGGATTTATTTTGAAATGCGCAAACGGAAGTAGGACGTTTTGTCGTGTCCTGCTTGACGTTGTTGGGAAAAGCACCGTGGCTGAAAACTTGGGGAAAAATGGAAAAAGTAACAGGCGTAAAGAGTTTATCGGTGCATCCGCTGGCGAGATAAGGAACAACAGCGATGGATCTGCATGTTTTCTCTCTGGAGTGGTTTTCTAACTGACAATGGTGTCGACGGAGGGAAAAACGCAGATTTTCTCGCATTTCCATTGAAAGTAAATTTACTCATGGAGAAAGGAGCAAGTCGGGAGTCATGAGCACAGGTTTGTTTCGTGGGGGAGCTAACTTTACTTAGCTAAAATCCTGCTGTGCAAGCGCCTCTTTTGGCTAGATAAAACTAAATGCAAATACTTCAAGAGTTTATTCGCGTAAAGTGGTAAAAACTGCGCATTTTAACTGTCATAACGGACGATAGCATCCACTCTATTTTTTACTCTGTCTCAGTTAATTACAGTTTTTCTTAATAACAGCTTTCAAAAAGATATGAAAGAGGACAGGCTCGACCTCAGTGTGAGTGCTTTCTAAAAAACGCCATCATAACTCATAACCAGAAATGTCCTTTCCGTTTGATATTACAGCTACTGTTGCAGCTGGAGGGGGTTAAATCCTTTGTCTTAAAACATCTGTCCTGCTGTTGATGCAACAAGTCGGGCTCAATAGTAAGCTGCAGGGTTAACATCTCATAGAAAACACATTTAAGCAGCCTGGATAAAGAGGGATGCTCTCAGAGAAACTGGATATATATGATGGAGTTATTTTGATTGTTGGTCTTTCCACGACATGAGCGGTTTTAGTCCTGATACCTGGCGTTGCCCCACAGCGAAAACATAAGGCCAAACTCCGCTTAAAATATAGCCGTTTAATATTATTTCGCTTATTAGTAGATTTATATCCCCGAAGACATAGTTTATCAACTTTGATAGCATCGTTATCATGCACTGGCAAATTCGGCTTACATATAAAGGTTACAAGTAACATCTGGATAACGTTTTGAACCCATTCTCCTTTCTCATCACTGAATTATCACTTGAATTTTGGTAGCAATTTGTGTGAACCACTTCTTAAAGTCGAATTTTTCTAACAGGAAGTGTAAGCCGAATTGACAAGTGTGTGCCAATGTTTAGTAATAGTTGTTAATAACTGCCCCTTAACGTAGGTATTTCTGCTTTTCAGCGCATTGACTTTATATTGATTGATTTTTGAACAGAGTTTGGATCGAGGCTCTCACTGCCAAGGCAGAGCAGCAGCATGTACTGGGGGCAGAGCGGTTTTTTGGTCGTTGGCCTTTTCGGAAACATCCGCTCGATGACTCCACTTCTCGTGGTGTCGGCCAGCCAAGAGTTTGAGCCAGTAGAGCGGAAAATATCGCCTACAATCTCAATTCACAACTTTTTTATTAGTGGAGAGAGTCTGTTTTTTATTTAAAACTTTATTTAACCAGGTTAATCAGTGACATAGTGATTGTCTTATCTACTTCAAATATTAGTACAGCATTTGTATTTGTTTACAGGGTATATTTAGTAGCATGTGGCTTGAGAATACATACTTTACAATACACTTAAGTATAACTCAGCTCTGACAACAATATAAGTCTCTAACAGACATTAAAGGGAAACCATGACTTCTAGAAATGCCCAAACACAATCTGTCAGGAGCAGTTGACAGTAGGAGGACAGAAAATAGAAATATACCCATTATGATTATAATACTGCCTGCTGCTGGTGAAGTTTATACAATTTAATTAAGGCAAGAATTAAAGATATGCCAAGCATGCCAAGCTCTCTCAAGAACAGTAGGGAGGAAGCAAATTCAATTGTGAATGTGAATAGAATAATCCAGTTTTACTTTGTATTTGCTGCCATGACTAAGATGTAAGCCCCTCTGCACTCCTTTATTAGATAATTATTATACACAAAAATGGATGGTTGAGCAGATGTACAAGAGTAAATCCTCATTTTGATCCCTTTATTTATTTCACACGTTACTCCACCCCTCATTTCGTCCCCTCTGACCCGAAGCGTGACCCCTTGACCTGAGCATTAACCACAGCTCGCAGCTGTCGATGCTTAAAGTGTGGATGAAGCATGTTTTTAAATGTCATGTTGGAGTTGTGTGATTCATGTAAAAGGAAGTGTGAGTAAATGATTTTTGGCGTTTCTGTAAATCTCCTCCCTCTTCTCTACATGCAGGTGTGAAGAAGCCTCCATTAGCTCCCAAACCTAAACTCCCTGCCACCACCAAACCTTCTCCCCCGCCCATCGCCCCCAAACCGGGCCTTCTCTCCCAGTCTTCCGTCGTCTCCCAACCCTCCCCTGCCACCCTCAAGAGGACAAAACCGACTGTCGCTCCCAAACCGTGCATTCCCAAATCCACAGCCTCGTCTCCCCCTGTTTCACCCCCGCCGCCCAAACCCGGTGAACCCCTTATCCTATCTCAGGAAGCTTTGGGAGATAGCCTCTCGCTTCTCAACTCCAGGAATGGGATTTTATCAGAAGCGAACAAACGTGACTCGGATTACATCATTCCCACCTGCTCGTGTGGGCTGCAGGACTGTTCCCAGTGCCAGCGTCTCGAAAACGGAAACAGAACTGAGTTTGGAAGCAATTTGCAAAAAGGGCCGTTGCAAAATGGGATTTCTGCGGACGGGACAAGGCAGCAAGAGAAAGCAGAGAATTGGGAGGAGGGAGTAGCTGTGGAGAAGGGTGAAGGTGGAGGGATTAGCAGAAAGACGAGGGATAAACCTCAAAGACAGAGACACCTGGACAGGGTGAACAAAGAGGAGCAGAGAGCTTCAGAGACTTTAAAACACCAGGAAAGTGCTGCTGCTGATCCTGATGTTTCTAAAGCGGATGTACACATTGAGACCCAACGCAGAGATGTAACAGACTTTAAGTTGGCCTGTGATGTTGCAGGCAGCATCATTTTCTCCCCCGGCGTCGTTTCTCATGCTTCCTCTGCAGAGTCCTTTCAGGTAGACTGCAGTGAGCCTTTCAGCAAATCATCTCCTACCAGGATACACCCTGATCTGCAGGTCCCTGCTGCCCCCAGTAAGCCTCTCCCGGTCCCTCAGCCACGCAGACTTAAGAAGCCAGCCCTGGTGAGGCAGGATGGCGTGGAGGGCAGTGCCCAGGATCAGGTGACGGAGGAACAGAAACAAGGGCTTGACTTACAAGAAGATGAGGGTAAACTGAGTCTAGCTGGTCTGTCTCTCAGTTTGGACGGCGAAGAGCTCAAACAGGACACATGTGACGACCTTTTACCCCAAAAAGACTCAGGTTTGGAGGATGATGAGAAAGACGCACCCGTCCCCCCTCCTCGACAGACCTCCCTGTCACCTCGCCTTCACAGAACATCGCACATGCCCCCGTCTCTTAACAAAAACACCTCCCACTCCTTAGTGCAGCTCTCACATGCTGACTCAGTGAGCCACAAGAAAGATGGCGAGGAGCACCAGGTGGAGGAGGATGAAGAGGACGGGTACGGCGACTTTGAGCGCTACCCGATCACCCACAGCCTCCCAAAGCAGCTCAAACTCGGCTGTCATCCTCTGGTTAACGTGAGGAAAGCCTTTTCCACCGAGGATCAGCAGTCACCGAGGGCGCCGCCCAGGAAACCTCAGCGACACAGCCTCCCAGCGCCCCCTCTGCCTTCCATCTGCCCCCCTGCACCTCCACATGCTAACACCCCGATGAGAGAGCTGCCTGCGCCTCCTCAGGAGAAGGCAGCCTGGCGTTTCACCCGACCCTGCGTGACCTTCTTCAGCCGGCAGATGCCCACCAGGAGCAGCGTGCCGCCAAAGGGTCGAGCTCCAGCGCTGGGGGGGAAGCAGAGGGCGCAGTCCTTCTCTGCAGCTGACCTGGCAACCCGGGCCGACTCTCAGAAGAGGAGCCTCTCTTTCCGGAAGCTGCTGGAGCTCCGGCTGTCTGTCAAGATGCTGCCAAAGCTGCTGGCCAAGGGAGGGCAGTCCCTGGACTGTACCAGCGTGGAGTCGAACCGGGGGGAGAGAAGCCTGGAGCGGCCCAATAGCTGCATAGTGGAGTCTGATATCTGTGGTGAAAACGGAGATGGGTCAGTGGAGTACGAGAACGTGCCTTTGTATGAGGAGATCCCCGAGTACATGAACCTGCCGTTTCACAGTGGGAGGCTGGGCTGGTCACATGACCACGATGAAGACGATTCAGACATCTATGAGGTGCAGGATCCCTATCACAGGTGTCACGACCACGAGTACGAGAGGTACGGTACTTTACATGTTTAGAAGTTTGTAAAGATTTTGTGATTATTTTTTATAATGGATTAATCTATCTATTTTTTTAATATTGAGAAAGCTGCTCTTGATTGGTCAGAATTTCCATGTGGGAAAAATCCAGGAAGTAAAGCAAACGTTGAAGAAGAGTACGCTTGCAAGATAAATGTGACACTTTCTAATGTCACAATGGAGGGACAACTACGCAGGTTGATTTTAGTGCTGCACATCGTGGACTATATTGCTGTCATTGTTCATTTTAGTCAAACCAGGTCGGAACACGTTCTCACCACAAACGAAGCACACCAGAGTTCGTGTGTTACCGGACTGGTCTGGTTGTTTTGGTGCACACCTGAGTGTGATTGCTGTGTTCACACCTGCCCAAACGAACCACACTGAGGGGGCAAACAAGCTTGAGTTTGATTGAACCGAACCACAAACATTCTCATTTTACAGCTAAACAGTGCACTAAAATATGTTACATCTACTAAATGACCATTAAGTGATTATCAAAATAGTTGTTTATTTATTTTATCCACCAACTAATAGATTAATCTAATAGATATTCTAATAGATTATCTTGTCTTTACTCATCTTTCTAAATCGTCACAGGTGTGTTCTCTAAAGACAATTCATCATCTGAGTCAGAATAATCTCTCTATCTAATAGAAAATACTAAAACGTGTGTTAAACAGCTTTTATCAAAGAACTTTCCCAGCTGAGTTCAAGTAAAGAGACACTTTTATGCTGTAAACAATGGCTGTGTGTGTGTGTGTGTGTGTGTGTGAGGAAAAAAAGGAGCCTGAGAGTTGTCGTAGGCCGAGCTCCAGAGCCGCTGTACAAGTCCTGCTGCCACCCTGTAATTTCAGGTGACCCGTAGCTTCAGTGTGGGAACCTCTGCGTGCGACAGGTTGCACAGGTGACATTAGCGGTTCGCCTTTACAAGAGTGTGAAAGTCGGCCTTTGAGCCAGTGGCATTGGATTTGAATAGAACATTGATGTGCAGCAGGTCGGCCTGTTTTCCTGTGGGTTATTTTCAGTGGCCAGGGCAGGAAATGTCTGAGAATCGCAGAAACGCCACACAGCTCTCTAGAACAGGGAAAATAAACCTCCAGCAACCACCAGCCTCCTCCTCCTCAGCCTGCACGCCCTCGCACTGCGTTTAGCCTCTTCCTAACCTCATCACTCCACTTTTTCTCCTCTGTGTCTCTGGTTTGAGTTTAGTTCTCATCCCGGTGAATGAACAAGTTAGTCGTCTGTCAGTATCACACCTGTGAAGAAGCAGCAGTTTGCACATAGATGAATTAATAAACTTGACATGATTTATCGTGGGAAGATGAACAAAACATTTATTACTACAAAACCTCCTCAAGCAATGAACATGCTCCTGGCATACAAGGCAACAAATAAGACAGACAAGTCATAGAAACAAGAGATTGTAAAAGAAACGAATAAAAACATTTTGGTGTATAAAAATCAAGGAAATAAAAGACGTTTAAATGAACTTAAAACTCAAGTAAAATTAGGAAAGGCTCTCCGATAAAATTATGTTTTAAGATGAGACTTATAAGAGATCACTGACTCGGCTATTACCAAGATAATAAAAAAACAGAAAATAGACTAGAAGCTGAAACAACACAGCAGATAGCTCAAGTTGAACGTGGTGGCTCCTCAGAGCTCTGTTGCCAACCTCCGAGCTTCAATGGCTCGTGGAACTTTCGCCTCTTGTCTAAACCCAGCATTCTCACCTTGATGTGCTCTTAGGCACCACAGTTTGGCACTGATAGATTTAACATGAATCAGTACTTGGTAGTACAAACGTAATTCACTTGGGACCTTCAAGTACCAAGATTGGTACCCAGCCCTACAGATGTTCCAATACCAATCTGACTACTTGGCACAATAATCACCTCTTCAGTGAAACATTGGCGGTGGTATTAAATTGATCGGCAACTAATAATTGTCTTTATAATTTGTTAATTTGGAACTTATTTTTCAATTAACTGATTAATTGTTTGGTAACTGAACTAAAGTTTCTAAAAAGGAAACTTATTCAGATAGCTTTTTTGACCAAAACCAGAAGACACTCCGTTGTGTGAGTCAGTTTGTTTTTTCTGGCCACTTGGGGGCACCAGAACAAGCTTTAAGTACAACAATTGACATATCACCTTCTTAAAGTGATAGTAATCTTTCATTTGGAGTCATGTGTCTGGCCACCTGAGGAATTTAAGTCCAATGTTTACTGTACTTTTAGCTCTCTTTTGGTCTCCACACCAACTCCTTCCTGGGGACATATGTCTCTTTAGCAGGTAAATGCTCCACTGTGTTCACCAGTGTGTTGCTAACTTTCTCTATTCACTGTGGAGTGCCGTTCAGGTGGTGTGCAGTGGGTTTATGGCAGAATATTTCACTGTAAACGACACTGATGAGAGCAGTGAAGCAAAACAGTGAAGCTGAAAGAGGCTAAAACGATCTGTAGAGCTGAGTCGAGTGGTAATGCTCTGTGGGTTTGTGGCTTCAACTAGCCCTCTTCACAGTGGAATAATCAAAATAATAATGCAATCAATTGATCCATTTTAATGTAAAAATACTGATTTGTGCAGCTTTAAAGGGACAGTTCACCCAAAAATCAATCAACTTTTTATTCATTGGATTAAAATGTGCTATATTGGGATATGTATCATTAGGGGGATATGAAATGAACTATATCGGGATATGAGATTTTAGTCATATCGCCCAGCCCTAACCTGTAGTGCTCCTTATGAGTCTAGATTGTTTTGTTGTGAGTTGTAGAGTGTTTGAGATATCAGCAGTTTACTCAAGATAATCCACAGACCTTGTTGTGAGCAGTTTCATGTAGGAACTATTTTCTTTCTACTGAACTATACCCACCAGCTGTATCACCTCGCAGAAGTGCGCATCTACTCATGGACGAGATGCTTGTGTCAGCACAAGATGTAAACATTAATGGCGTCCTCTTCGGGTGGTCTGTAAAGTAGCTAGCTCAGGGGTGCTAGTTGAGCTAGCAGTAGATGCACACTTCCTTCTGCGTGGTGACACGGTTAATGGTTGTAGTTCGGTAGAAAGAAAATAGTTCCTACTTGAAACTGCTCAACAGGTAAGAGGAAAATATGGGATGAACTGTCTCTTTAAGAAACTAAAACTAGAGAATCTTTGGCATTTTGCTCCGTAAACCACTCAAATAGCTAATTAATTGCAAGAATTAGTGTGTTACATGTGTAAACTGAACAGCCGAGACATCACCAGCAGATTCCCCCTGTCCCATTCGTGCTATTAAGATCCCACTGAGCCACTCTGTTCTTGACATGAGGCCCAGGCAATGAGGAGCTGTTCCCATGATAGGTGCCATGCATCCTGTTTCCTCTGTCAGACTGTGGCACCACGAGTGATGAGGTCGAGGCCACGCTAGGTGCCGATGCGGCATGCTGGCATGAAATCGGCCGTTAAAACAATTAAGATGTACCCTGCTTCTTAATTCAGTCTGGTATGCAGAGTGGTTAGCCGAGGGTTCTGTGCTGGAGAGGAGGAAGAAGGAGCGAGTCAATCTGTAGTGTTTCCCAGGCATCTGAGCCTGTTAAGTTTATGTAAGTAGCCTCAGGCTGTAAACAAGTGGTGCTCTGTGCCTGATCCAGTGTGTTGGAATGCTCCACTATAGAGAAAGCATAAGGGAGAAAGAAGTTAGGAGAGGAGGGTGGGAAAGAGGAAGAGTGTGTGTTACGATTTAGGTAAAAGAAACTGTCGGGAGGCACATAAGAAAAACAAGGAAGTGGAGAGAGTGGGCGATTGCTGATGAGAGTGAAAGGAAATTTGAGGATTTTTGGAGTCCCACAGTCTTTCCTATCTAATATTTATTCTGAGCCATCACCCTTTGCGCCAAACTTCTACAAGCTGCTGTACAGAGAGAGGTGTAAGGAGGGAGGAACAGCAGCAGCATGGCGGGGCTGAAATCAAATCACATTAATTCCTCCTCATTTCTTTGAAATCAGACAGTTTAATTGTACAGAGGAGATCAAAACATTAGTGACACACAAACACATGTTGGTGCTTGTACCAACCTGGCAGACAACACTTTTCGTGGGTAGAGCAGAGCCAGCATGTTGTCTCGCTGCCAGCAGCTCGCCTTAGAAAGACGCAGGTTTTAATCTGTTTGGTGGAATTAAAAAGAAAAAGAATAGAAGATACTAAAACACTGGTTCCAAAACTGACCCCTTTGCTATCATTGAGTAAACAGACGATCCCTGACTCCCTGACGACTAATAACCCGTAAAGTTAAGATAAATAATAACACAGTCGCTGCAGGAATTTTGTGTAACACATCATTTTGGATGAATTATGAGCAGATTATTTCCTCTGAATGTTGCATCAGAGATGAGTTTTCCTGATATTATTAGGAACCTTTCTTAACAATTCTTTGTATTATGCATTTTTTTAAATACTTTTTAACAATCAAATATATGTAACGGGCTGATTTTATTGACAAATTAAGTGTTTTTTACTTTTTCCTGACCCTTGGCCATTGTTCTGTTAGCTCTTTGGTTGTTTTGACTGCCTACTTTTCTAATACAGGACGAGGCTGTTTAGCTGAGGGTGAAGACTCAGTAGATATAGTTTGTGTTCAGGTGTTTACAGTGTCCTTATACTGTGAGAATTTTTTAAGTTTACATGTTTATTAATGATCTAAACTTTGAAAATAACAATTTAACTTAGTTTTTTTATGTTTATTTTTTATTTTTAAATGTTTTTGGGCCCATTCACCCTTTGAAGTGGGGTTGTATGAGGTACTTACCCACAGTCAGTGTATTACCTACAGTCAATGTAAAGAAGCAGGCAGGAGTACCATCACAAAGGCTGTGAACAGGGGCAGCAGCAAAATGTATTTAAGCCACCAAAAAAATTCAATATCACTTTAAGTGTCGCTATATTTAGAATATTTTCACCACTTTACCATCCGACCAGACAGTGATGTCCTACTGGAGCTCAAGCCGTTCATCGCTCTCTTCAAAGCCAGACTCCATTGAGAAAAACAGTGATTTATTATCACTGAACACAGGAGCTGCTGGTCTACTGCTGCCTCGATCAGTTAGCTTGTTTCTGTTCTTGCCCGACTTTGATGTTTTAAAGGCTACGTTCGGACTCACCAAAGTCACACAGCGACACAATCAAACTAGCTGATAGAGGCAGAGGTACACCAGCAGCTGCTGTGTTCTACGAGCCAAAATTGCTGGTTTTGTCAATGGAGTCTGGTGGTTTTGACAGGAGCGGAGATAGGGAACTGAAGCTCTTATCAGCTTCCCTTTTCGGAAAGGGCTATGTGACAGAAAAGTAAAGCAGGGAATATACTCTCAATATAGTGTAGACTTAAACTGATACTGATTTTTTTTTAGGTGGCTAAAATACATTTTGCTGCTGCCCCGTCCACAGCAATACGTTGCTTAACTTTTGTGTTGGTACTATGATAAGTACCTCATACAACTCCACTTCAAAAGATCCAAACTGTCCCTTTTTATTATTATTTTTGTGTCCATCAACTAATTGAATAACTGTCTAATTGTAAAAATGATAGCACGCAACAAATTGGATTCTTTTTCTTATTTTGGGGGGTTGTTTATGACCCTTTAATCTAATAATACTGTCCTAAACTCTGTCATTGATCAGTCTTGTCTATGTTTTACCTCACGCCGGGGATTTAAAGCTCAGATGTTGTCACGGTGTAATCATAATCTTCCACTGTACAACACCTCTACATGAGCTTCTCTCTTGTCCTGACTCACAGGCTTCCAGTGAGTCAAGACTAAGTGTGTTGAGTTCATCATAAAGTCCCCCTCTTGCACAAACCTTTAATCTTTATTCATCCAGGGAGTGTTTGTCTGGACTCACACTCCTCTGCAACCCTGCCCCGCTCAGCGTTCACACATTCAGACATTTCCTCTAAAGTGAAGCTGAATTCTGCTGCGTGTGCCGTGTTTAACCTCTGTCTCTGTTGAATGTGTGGTGTGTGCAGTGACTGGCTGGGGCAGGACGTCCACTCTGAGGAGGAGGAGATCCACAGTTCAGATGAAGAGGACAACAGCTCCGCCTCCAGTAAGGAACACCTGGACGAGGCGGGCCGACAGGTAATCACCTCGCGCCTGTGAGGGGAATTCAGTCAGTTTACAGAAATTCCTATAAAGTGATGACTTAATGAGGTATGGTTAAAACTGAAACTGAAACATTTGCCAGCACCGGATGACGGATCATTTCTGTGCTTGTTTAGGCCGCTACTAAAACCAATTCAAATGTTTCTGTATCAACATGCTACCAGTTTGCACCAGTGGAGTTGACTTATTACAGCACACATCTAGTTAAACATCCTTGTTCTTGTGTTTTTCTACAGCAGCTTACTCCTAAAACATAAACAGATGATTTTAGCGCAACGAAACAGCAGATTTTAAAAAGACACCCTTCTCCCGCAGCTCTCCCCTCTCTGTCCTAAGCCCCTCCCACCAGACGACTTCATACTGTAATCCATTGTTTCCCATACATTAGCCATTTTCTCATTTGATCTCTGAACAGTGTCCAGAGGATCACCTTACACACATGTAGCACACAACAGGAGATAGTCTGTGTCAGAACAGTTGTGAACTACTGGAAATACTCTCTTGGTTTGGGTGAGGGGTAATGCCCACACAGAGCGTGCAGGAGGCAGGACTTGATGCAGATTGCACCGTTGTCATGCAGCCGGGTCTCTTGCCGTTCCTTGAATTTGTCTGTCATTTCAGTTTTTGCCCGTATCGATGGAAGTTCCCAAATCTCGTCATCTCACAGGTTAGATATTTTCGTTGTCGTCCTCATGTAAACGATCCTTTATATTCACCCTTAGATGTTAGTTGTCTTCTGGTTTTGCGATAGAAACGTCGTGAACACTCCCGTCAACTACCTGCTCTATTAACAGCTGGGCTCAAATGGACATTACACGGACTTTGCACTGGGGAACTAGCAGCCGTTTAATGTCCAGCTGATTGGGAAGTTCTTACATACAGCTCCTCTGGGTAATGTTGACATAATTCCAGGTTTGCAGTTCATGTGTGAAAGGAGCTATTGATTAATCTTATTTCTTTATGTTATGCTTTATTTTTATTACTTTTTATGGAAAGAAAAAAGCAGACAAAACCAATAACAACAGGTGAAATGCTTAACATCTTGTAACACAGAAAATGAAAAGAAACAAGGTTACAGTGTAGTATCATGGATAATAGGTCCTTAATGTCCATGATCGTCTTTTAATGATGATCCTTAACTTTGATTCCTGGAGAGCCTGGGTACTTTTAAGGAAGAAGAAATCTTCCACTCATTCATAAGCTATAGTCCATTCGTTATGTCTTAATACTGAGGGGGGATAGAACAGAAATCTACAGAAGCGTATTGCATTCACTTGACAAATAAAAAAAGCCCTGTTTTTCTGAGTAATTTTTTCCCTGTTTTTCATGGTATTTTTTTCTGTTTTTCATGGTAATTTTTTTCCCTGAACGAGGAGACAAGATACTTCAAAATCTTGCGAGAAGCTCCCACCTGGCACCTGCAAGTGACCCCTGCATCCATGGTGACTCCTGCTCATGGATGTATTTTGCATCCATGCTCCTGCTTCTAGACAATTTCAACTACGGGATCAATAAGGGTAAGGCACGTAATTAGTTACAAACAGGGTATGATAATCTAGCTATGTTTTCGACTGCATCCTTCTAGTGTAGGCCTATCACTCAATGTAACAGGTTAGGTTAATAACAGGTTGTAACGTTAGCTGACAAACGTGTATGGGCATGATTTCAGTTGTCAGGCATTGTTACAACCTGTTACTAACCTAACCTGTTACATTGAGCGATAGGCCTACACTAGAAGGATGCAGTTGAAAACATAGCTAGATTATCATACCCTGTGTGTAACTAATTACGTGCCTTACCCTTATTGATCCCGTAGTTGAAATTGTCTAGGAGCAGGAGCACGGATGCAAAATACATCCATGAGCAGGAGTCACCATGGAAGTATCTCGTCTCCTCGTTCAGGGAAAAAAAATTACCACGAAAAACAGAAAAAAATTACCACGAAAAACAGGGAAAAAATACTCAGAAAAACAAAAAAAAATTACACAAAAAAAACAGAAAAATAAAAAAATTACTCAGAAAAACAGAAAAAATTACTCCAAAAAACAGGGCTTCTTGTATTTGTCAAGTGAATGCAATATGCTTCTGTAGAAATCCTCAAACAAAATAAAAATATCAATAAAAGATCACTTCAATGTCAAGTAACGTTTCCATTTTTCCAATATTTTTCACATCTTTAGAGGCATGTTTCAGTGAAAAAGTCAGTTGTTCCATAACATGAATATTCCTTAACTGTTTCTTTACCTAGCCATTTCCTGGTTATTGTATTATTATTATTTTAATCACTCAACGAATTTACTTAGCCCCTCCCCGCCCAGCTGTTGCTCTCTGTTTATCAGACCAAAAAGACGACATGAATTAGCTAGCTGCCTCACTCCCCGCTGCTGTGGACTGCTTCCCCAGAAGAGAGCAGGCAGCAGCTCAGGAGGTGGACCTTTAATTAATGGCTGTAGCGGCTCGAATTCTCTGGGTGTCACAGCAGGTTGGTGTCCAGCAGCAGCAGCACCTGGTCTAACCTGGGGTCTGTCTCTGGAGCTGCTGCCCGCTCAGCTCCCAACAAGGCGGTCCGTAGCGGCGGGGAGTGAGGTGGAGGACACACTGTGATGCAAGGCTCTCGCTTACATTAGCCTCCTGATCATGACCTTGAAGCAGAAAGCTAAACTGTTTCTCTCCATCTCTGAAATGGAGACTTTCTCTTTGATAAGTCCGTCTTCCTGTTTCTGGGTTGCTTTGCAGTGTAGGCAGTTGTTGCCAATGCTGGAATAAAAATGTTCTCTGCAGGATTGTCCACCATTTAATCAGGCTGTCACCATCTCAAGGGACGTGCATGCACATCTAAAATTGTAGGCCAGCCAATAGGAACACCCTCTCTTTGAAAAGACCTGTGATTGGGAAGTCTACTGTCATGGGCTAGATTTTCTGAAGCCTAAAAACAGAGTGAAGAGGAGGTGCCGAAGTCTTGTTTTCCCTCACACCACTTGAATTACAAGATGCTCAAAGTTTATTGTAGAATTTTTGCCCAGTGACGCCAAAACTAAACTGCCTACCTCATAGCATTTGTATAGGAATGATACTGTTTGAAGCGTTTTGATCCATATAAGCTGTTTATCACTGTAACTGTGTCACTTTATGTGGTTTCCACTGGCCCTGCCCACACTTTTCTGCTGGAGAAAAAACAGTCAACCATCAACTGTTACATGCCAGTCAGCAAGCCTTTCACACAACATGAGGTGGTGCAGAAGCTCTTGAGTCTGATGGACTATCCCACAGAGAGCACAAGTCAAGTCTTCACACACCAAACATCACGAGCACCAGACGAGACTAAAGTGAAGAACCTGTCAAGCTCCTCAGGCAATGGTTTATCTGCTCGCCTGTGGAGTTCACCTGCAGCAGGCACCAAGACTTGGTCCGCAAGGGTCATCCCGGCAAGAAAGTGGTATTCTCGTTGTCTGTCATGAACCACAGGAAGTTCATTTTCAGGCTCCTCTTCTCTTTGAAGACCAACAACTTCAAAGCTGCATTATTAACACTTTATCAGGCACCTGGTCTGGTTTGAGGTCTTTCTCATCAACTTGGAACTGACTCGTCTTGGTGCCACAGACCTCATTGATTTTATAACCTTGAGAATGATATAAGATGATAAACTACTTACATTTGGCTATTGCAGGAAACTACTTCATTCATTCATTCATTCATTCATTCATTCATTTTCCGTAACCACTTATCCTGTTGGGGGTTGCAGGCTGGAGCCTATCCCAGCCGACATTGGGCGAGAGGCAGGGTTCACCCTGGACAGGTCACCAGACTATCACAGGGCTGACACATAGAGACAGACAACCATTCACACTCACACCTACGGGCAATTTAGAGTCACCAGTTAACCTGCATGTCTTTGGACTGTGGGAGGAAGCCCACACTGACATGGGGAGAACATGCAAACTCCGCACACAAGGGCTCCCAGAACAAGGAACCCTCTTGCCGTGAGGTGACAATGCGAACCACTGCAACACTGTGCGAAACAAAACAGCAAACACACTGTTATGAGCCTAAAACGTGTTATTTGCCTGTTTTTTTACCAATAAAGAGTGGTTGTAGCATGTCAGCGACCTTTACATTTGAGTCCTGGTGTCAAAGTTATAATAAAAAGTGGGTTCATTGGTATTTGTATATACATCTTTTGCCATTTGTGTGGACATCAGTTCAAGATGGCCCCCAAATGAATCCCATGGGCCATGAGTCGACCTTGGCAACAAGAAAAATTCTTAACCAGACACCCTTAGGCCCTGATCTCACAGAAAGCACCTGGAGGCGCCTTTTTGTAATTGTTTTTAATGAGAATGAAGCTTTTTCCTTGCAGCATTTGCGCTGCTATGCGCCCCACGTTTTTGCCGGAGCGCCCTGAACTCCTCAAGTTGAAAAAACTTCAACTCAGAGTGGAAAAGTGCCCCATGTCATCTCTTTTTCGTCATCTTTTCTCCCATCGTCCAACTGGATCATTTGAGAGGCGGGCCTTCTGTGGTGGTCACGACAACAAGTTTACAGTTGGTAAACAATGGAGGAGAAACTGGTGGTAGCGGTTGCTGGATACCCAGAGCTATACGGCCAAACGATAGACAGCAGGTTGTCAAACTGTCCCTGAGTCATCTTAACATATGTCTGGAAACGGCCATCATGGAGGAGAAGCTCCTGGACCAACTGTTGGTACTCCCCATGACCCACCCTCTTTGTTAGGGTCTCATGTACCCACACAGATCTCTGTTTATCTGCTGACAGCCTCTCACCCTCAACCAGAGCTACAGACAGTACCCTCTGCCTCAACATGTCAGGAACTAGATACTGATTACTGTCAAATTGCTAAAAGAAATAAATGGTAGATTGATAACACGGGAAGGTTAGAATAAGGAGGTGAGTCTCTGGTTGCCTGGCATCAATAAAAAGTTGCAGCAAGAAAAGGCAGTGCGGTGTGCCTACGCTTTCTGTGTGATCAGGGCCAAAGAGTCCTAAAAAGCAAGGTCACAGGTATGTGGGAGCCTATTTCTTCTGCTAGACCATATGTTTGTCATGTAATGTTTCCTGAACTCCAAGTTGGGAACTGCTGCGTTGATGTAGCTGCTTTTATTCCCACTTCAGAGATGAGGAAAAAACTGCCGAAATGTCACTGCCTGAGTAGGAGGATCGCCAGAGAAACTCATAGGAAAACCGACTCCTAACTGTTTGCAGACATGATGCCAACGTGTAAAACTGGCAGAGCGTTTACAGATTACAATGGAAGTCTCATATCTCCGCCGGTGACTAAAGCGTCACTGGAGCCACTGGAGATTGTGTGCACGTCTGCTGCCAAGTGTGTTCATTACAGCTCTGCAGAAGTGTGTGTGTTGGGGGGAAGGGGGATGGTGAGCAAACACAGAAGAGTTACAGGTTCAGGAATAGCTCCCTCAATGAGGTTTTTTTTTTGTTCGTCCTGTGTGACCCTCTCTATGATTCTGTCAGCACCTGTGTCTGATGCCCCACAAACCTCCAGGGTATCACAAATACAGTCTCCGATAGGACCAGTAGGACATTTCAGTCGAGCAGGGGGGGGCAAGGCTGCTGTCCAAATTAAGTCATTGAAAGACCGCCCCATTACCATTCAACAACACACACCACGAGAAAGACACAGGGAGAGGGGAGAAAGAGGGAGAAGAGAAAGGTCGGCGCTCTACTTTCAGACCTGATTGAGTTGTTGTTTGGACGGCTGTAAACTCACTTCTGATGGTTTGACAGAGAGAAACAGGATCAGAGTGATCATGGTGATCTGCAGCGAGCCTGTGAGTGTACACTGATGTGTTTAAGTCAGCCGCTGTTGGCATTTCTGTCTCTGAACTGTTTGTGTTTCTGCCCTTTCAGCAGGAGGATGAGATGAAGAGGAAGAAGGTGGTGCACATCGCCCAGGAGATTATGAGCTCCGAGAAAGTGTGAGTGGTTTTACAATGAAGCTGGAACACGTAACATCACTCCTGAAGCAGAATCTCAAATGTGCTGTGTTTAATGTTTGTCTGACTGATGTATTTCTGCTCCCGTATCAGGTTTGTGGACGTCCTGAAGCTCCTTCACATAGTAAGTGTCGTATTTATTCAAGAGTCTCATTAAAGGAACAGTTGTTTCAGCAGCCTGACATAATAAATCACACTGTATGTTTTGTTCCCCGCGCCGACACTGGGATTGTTTTGAATGGCGTTCAAAGCTTTTTTCTTTCTCAGGGATGGACCTGAATTAATGAGGTTCAGGCTGGTCCTTGCTCCAGTGCCCGTACAGAGCTGAATAATGCTGTTACTTCACGGCTGAGGCTTTTAAAGTTGCTGTGTTGGAGGGTTTTGGTTTCCTGGGGGCGGCAGTGGGCAGGTAAACGACGGCCACAAATAGGGAGGCGGCACTTTGATCAGACACATTATGGGGAAACACTGTCAGGCAAGAGTGTGTGTTTGTGTGTGTGTGTGTGTGTGTGTGTGTGTGTGTGTGTGTTTTTGCAAGAGAAGAGAGCATGAGTAAGACTTCAGTTGAGGTTTGGCTCTCTTGAGGTGAAGCAGGGAAGTTCGTCTGGTGAATTTAAATACCAAACGTTTGTTTTCCAACTTTTCCAACTCCAACAAATCAGTGGGATAAAATGGGCAAAACAATATTTTCACTAATATGTATAAGGCAATATCTTAGTGACACACATTCACATGTATTTCTGCTTTATTTTGATGACAGTTTCGGTCAATTTGTTTTTTGTTTCGCAGTCATTACAGTTTGATAGCTTTCTTGAAAGTACCCTTAAAGGTATACTATGCAGAATTTTCCAATAAAAAAACAATATATAGACTCAATTACAAACAGTTATCCGTCTCAATCATCACTTATGACCCACTAGAAGTGTATGGTGGTGTATTTGTTTGAGGAGACTCTGCACTCTGCCTGTATTTTCTTATTCTCTTTTTACTTTATGTGTCCGGGGCATTCATAGTCATTAGTTCAAGGTCTGGACAGTTTTATATATTCAGCGTCGTACTTTAGTTTGGCCATGTCGCCAAGCTAGTTTGCTGTCTCTGTCAGGTGTCTGAATGATAGTCATACAATCGACGATCCAACCCTCTGTGCAGGAAATTCACTGTACTTCAAAATAAAGTGTGTTTTATTATAAACTTAACACATTCACAAGTCACTTACAGTCCATACAGAATGGACCTGTCACCCACTTTTGGGAACCAGTGCTCCAGGTTGTCTAGTTTCATATCTTTGCGCTAGCTTGAAAAATTAGCACACCACAGCCTCTTGAGCTATTTGTTGCAGTTGTATCAGGGTGGCCACGGTTCTTCCTTTTGGTCGCCACTGTCTTCATCCCCGTCCTCTCCGTCAGTGCTCGCAAGAGAAAGTGAAAGTCAATTTCACTCGCGTTTGGAACGGGCTTTGTCCACAGATTAAATCTTAATTAAAACAATTGATATGTGAGTTACAACAGCATATTAGAATAATAAAATAGTTGAAAAATAACAAGAGCTAACGCAACAGAAACTGCTCGGGTAAATACATATTTTTACAGCTTTAAAGATAAGTGTATCGATTGGTTATTATTTCAGTCCAGTGTCGTCTTTTTGGGTCTTGTATAGAGTCCATTTTTCCCATTTTCTTCCTCGTTGTGCTTTTTGTAGTCTCAGTATGTGTCAGTTTCTCCGTTAAAAAGATTTCGTCCACAGTTATTAGCCATCGGTCACTTCCTGGTGATAACTTTCTTGCTTCCTACTAGCAATATTATTTTCAAATATCTTACACTAGCAATAACATTTATATCCAGTTATTTTCCCACATTTCCAAAAAAACATGAGAGAAGTCTACATCAAAAGACCCACACTCTCGCCCACATTTCTGCCAACTACGAAGATGCTTACTTTTCACTTTTGGTGTAATAAAGAAACCAATCAGATTCTTCCATGAGAATTCCTTCCAGGTTCGCAAATTAGTGGTTGAATGGTGTATCTTCCACATATTATGCCAATCTTCCGTTATCCCTTTATTAATCTACAGCCAGTGTAAGAAAATATGAAAATAGTCGCCTATTAGTACCAAGAAATATTTTAAAAAGGGACTTTTACTGCACTGAAAATATGTATTTTCATGTCATGTGTGGCGGTGTGTACAGAAATCTTAAGACAGTGGCAAATACGCTCCTCAAGCTGCACATCTCTCTGTTTTGAATGAAGGATAACAGTAGCCATGTGACTGGATGACGTCTGGTTTAGTTTTTTTTGTGTGTGTGTGAAATTGCATGGAAACATGTTTTACTGTACACACTGACATGAGCAAAGTAAGGTTGTGACTTCTATTGTCAGTGCTTGTAAACTTGGCTTGTAAAGCTACAATATATTAGCGTACTTTTAATCTGTTTTAGTTGTGACATTGACAGAGGGAAACTCTGCCCTCATATATGTTTATGCTTCTGTAGTGGGTCTGTCCTGAGGGGAATCACAGGTGAGTGGGGTCGAGAGTCCACCTGTCTGGCCGCCTCAGACGTGGCTTTAGTGGAACCCCCCACAGGATTAGTAAAGAACGTCGCCCCGTGGCTGAAGGGGGAGGGCGAGGCGCGACGCTCTGTCCAAGAAAAGAGGTCAGATCGCATTCTTCTCTGTGTGCAGACGGCCCGGCCGAGCAGCAGCTGCTTCCTCAGGCCACAGAGACGACCTCCAGACACACACATACCTTAGATAATCCTCTGTGTGTGTGTGTGTGTGTGTGTGTGTGTGCAGTGTGTGTTGTGTGTGTGCAGGTGGGCGCGTGGGTTGGTGGCTGTGTTTGTTCATACTTGTGGCGAGTCGTCCAGCTGAAGTGTTTACATTTTTTTGTCCCTTTTTTGAAGTTGGTTAAGTTGTGGCCGATGTTCATGTGCGTTTGTGAATAATAAGATGGCGGTTTGTCAGTTTACCTGAAAGTGGGCAGTTTATAATTTTTACCATTTGTGTCATAAGAGTCATATTCAAGAACAGTATTATTGATTTAGGAGCCGGGATAATAGTGCATGATAATTAATACATCATGATGTAATTTAATGGGCTGAACTTGTGCAGCCAAACCCCCAAATCTTTCTTTAAAATTTATATTTTTGCTTGTTCTTTGTTTGTTGTTTTGGCATATGGAAAAATCGAGACAGCTTAATACCGCAATATTTTTTTGTGGCAATATTGCATAGATACACGGACACCAGGTATTGATTTTTTTTATTTCATAAATTAAGCAGGATTTATACTTGTACATCAGCTCTACGCTGTAGCCTACACTGTTGTGAGCATTTATACTTGTGCAGTGGTGTGTCTATGTAACTCTGCAGTTACACCTACAAAACACTAGTTGGAAACAGAGGTTACTGTGAAGTGCTGTAAAGTTTAGTTGATTCAAAACACACATTAAACACACATTAAACATGGCTTAATAGAGACAATTTCAAACACAAGTACACAAATCAGCTTCACTATAACTCGCAGCATTCACAGACAAACACTTGTCTTTATCTGGACACATTTTCCCCACAAATACAACATGCTAATGTTTTTAGCACAAGCCTATGGCATTTTACATTGTATAAATTAGCCTAGCAGCTAGTGGACTTTTCCTCTACTCATATGAAGCCAGGAACAACAGCAACATTTAACAAAGGTAATGTTACAAAATTCAGCTCCATTACAGCTCACAAGGTTCACTGACAAAACAACTGTCTTATACTAAACACGTTGTCCAAACAAATACAACATGCTAACGTTATTAGCACAAGTCTGGTATTTTACATTGTATAAATTAGCCTAGCGACAAGCGGAGATTTCCTCTGCTCATATGAAGCCAGGATAAATCACACACAAGACTTAAAATGCTATTTTTGTGGAGGATTTATTGTCTTCACAATTTATTGTTTCTTATCTGTGAAATTAAAGTAAATAAAAGCTTTGTTTCCACTGAGGGAAATGGTTTCAGCTTACAGAAACAGACAGGAGGTCTGTGTCACTGACACGTGTAGTTACATTTCTGGGGAGGTGGATGTCAGGCTGCAGCATAGGGTATGGCGCCGATTCGAAGCAGAAGTATAAATCCTGCATTATTGATATTGAAAGAAAGAATTAGTCCCTCAAGGGGACTATTATTATTTTACAGATTACACACACACACACGCACAAACAGAACCTTTACACATGCATTGATGGAGAGATGTCAGAGCGAGGGGGCAGGCCATGCCTTGCTCAGTGGAGCATGAACTGGCATCTCTCCAGCTACCAGTCCACACTTTGCGTTTGGTCAGTATGGGGGCTTGAACCAGTGACCCTTCAGTTCCTAAGCCATGTTCACACAGACTGAACTACTGCCATCCTGTTGCAAATACAAATGAAACTTTTAAAGCCCACTAGAATGGTAGAAAAGGTTTGCGCACACTTTCATCTATGCAGTGTTTCACTTTATTGTTGAGCTTTCAGTCATCAGAGCGTACATAGGAAGCACACAAAGCCACCTAGAATAAAATCAATAGCTTTTTCAGTCCACTTGATACATGTTGATGCAATAAAAACGACTCTGTATCTGTAATAAATGTAGGGGGTTAAACACTTAAGTGGTTGGAGAGTGTGAGTGTCACATGTTTTTTACTGCTAAATGAACTCTGCTGTCACCTGAAAGTTAATGTTGCAGTACATTGAGAGAGAGAGAGAGACAGAGACAGAGAGAGAGATCACATATTAACCAGGACACTGGGATCCTGCGTGGCCTTCCTGCTTCCTTCCAGGTGGATGTGTGTGTTGGCACTCTGAATGGTCAAGAGTGCTGAGTCGGCTGTGTGTGGCTGCGTGTGTGTGTGTGTGTGTGTGTGTGTGTGTGTGTGTGCAGAGGTGTGGGGGAAGGGTAGAGGAGGGGGCAGTTTATGAGGTGATATCCAGGTGTTCCTGTTCAGCTGCAGTACATGTGTATGTTGTCATGCCTGTGTCACCCCACCCTGTACAGCTGTGCTTGTAATAACGACGGTGCTCACCCTCTGTGTCCTCTCAGGACTTTCGGGATGCTGTTGCCAAGGCAACCCGTCAGAATGGGAAGCCGGTGGTGGATGAGCGGATCCTCAGTCAGATCCTGTATTACCTGCCACAACTCTATCAGCTCAACAGAGACCTGCTGAGGGAGCTGGAGGACAGAGTGGCACACTGGTAAACACACACACACTATAGCACCAACAGTAACCCTTCAGACATGGTACCTAGACCCTAGTGTTTCCACCACAAACAGTCCTCTTAAACGTGGGCGGGGTTGTTGTGCCAGTAAATCATCTGGACAAACTACAATGACCAACTTCCACACACTTGTCCCTCTCACCTCACCTAGTATCTCTACATCACATCTCACCCTGACCCCTGCAGCTCTCCTACTCCTTCCTGAGGAGGTGCAGCTTACAGTTTGAATACCCCTTAATTAAAGCACTTACATAAGGGAGTTTAAACAAAGGTGAACGCTGAAGTTTCATCCAGACTGTCTGCTGTAGGAGTCAGATGTTATATTCTGCAGAGCTGCTTCCTGTTTCAATACTGACTCTCTGTAATTGCTGTCATTGTGCAGGTTCACTGTGCACTTAGAGTTTTAATGGACAGTTTGGGTGCATGCATCTTCTTTTTCTCTAAATAAGTGTTTTGTACTTTGTGGTCAACTGGAGGTTTGTTTACAGCCTCTCAGGTCATGTTGGTCACGCTGCTGCTCTGCTGGACTCGATTTTGGAGAAGAATAATATTCAAAGTTACATAAAAATGTAGTCGTTTTCCATTAAAGGAAGTTGTTTAAGCTCAGGAAGCAGTAGCTTTAATAACAAGTAGGTACAAGACATTTTAAAAAGTACATATCAGTGAACATTTTTCTGTCACCGATCACCAACTTGAGCTCTTTCCCTCTTCATCTCCTGCTGGTTTCAGGAGCGATCACCAGAGACTGTCGGACATCTTTGTCCAAAAGGGTCCTTATCTGAAGATGTACTCCACCTACATCCGGCAGTTTGACAACAACGTGGCTCTGTTAGATGAACAGTGCAGGAAAAACACCGCATTCGCCGCTGTTGTCAGAGAGTTTGAGGTAAAGCTGGAAGCACAGTTGTCTGTTTGTTTTCGTAGGCTGCATACTCCTCGACTTTTAAGGCTCTCAGCTGTTAAACTTTCTGATAATTAGCTTGAACATTCACTGAAATGTGTGCAAGTTATTACGTTGCTGCCGTGTCAGCTCTGCTCGCATATAGCTGTTAGCTGCCCTGTTAGCATGTCCAATAGGCACAATGCAGTAACACACAGATAACATAGGTTTGCATACCCCACTGACCCTGTTAACTCATCCTCAGTTGCACCTGACAGGTTTGTTGCAGCTCATCACGAAGGGCTCATACTCTTTCTTGTATGTTCTTAATTATATTAATGCTAATAAGTAAAAGAAATATAGTTTTATTCCAACTCAAAAGGTGTAACTGACTCTTCCTGTAGTTCATGTGTCTGCAGCTTCGACCCAGAATCCGCCAGTAGCAGCCGTCTAAACTCTCTCCACGTGTCTCAAACAGCTGATTGGAAGCTTCAGTGTCTGTGTTTGTTTTTGTGTCAGACGAGTCCAAGATGTGCCAGCCTGGCTCTGAAACACTACCTGTTGAAACCAGTGCAGAGGATCCCTCAGTACCAGCTGCTGCTCACAGGTACAAACACCACGAAGCATGCTCACTCCTCCTTCTGGTCTCTTTTTACAGACACTGAAGGTCAAAGGGTTTATTGAATCAAGGCACTCCTTTATTGACAGCACATGAATGAATCCTGGGGCTCAAGTCTTTGTTTTGGTGCCATACTGGCACCCAGTGGACAGAACCAGTAAAGTAAACCTGAGGAGCACCAGTTTGACAGGAGGGTAAAAGGTTGCATCAATAAAAATGTCTGGCATCTTGTAAATTTCCATTGGCAGACAGCCTCTCCGTCCATTTCCTTCTGTGGCTGTCTTTGTACCCAGCTGTGGCGAGATGTGAACACTATGCACCTTTTTTCGCTCAAAGTTCACTGAAATGTCTTCTCCAGATTATCTGAAGAACCTCCCAGAGGACTCAGAGGACTATAAAGACACACAAGGTCAGATGAAGGACAATACTCCCCATTAGGATGATTATCTGTGCTATACATGGGTAGAACATGACAAACACTAAAGATTTATCTTTGCTCTCTGTGCAGCTGCCCTCAGCATCGTGAAAGAAGTGGCCAACCATGCTAATGACATCATGAAACAAGGGGTAAGAACATATTCCACACAAAGCTTTTAGTTTTGTCTACTTCTGTTTGGGACAAACATGACTTACAAATAAAAAAATAAATGAAAAAATAAATAAATATGGAAATATATAAATTAAGGAATAAATTACAGAAATAAAAAAATGCAATAATAAATAAAGGATTAAATTGATAATACAGAAATAAATGTATAAATAACTAAACGAACAAATAAATACAGGAATAAATACATGGATAAATTCAGGAATGCGTGAATACATGTGTAAATAAAATAAAGAATAAATAAATAAATACAAGGATGAATAAGGAAATAAAAAATGCATTGATGAATAAATTAATGAATAGATAAAGGAATAAATAAATACAGAAATTTAAAAAAGGATTAATAAATACAGAAATAAATAAATAAACAGGGATAAATATAGAAAAGAAATGCATTAATAAATAAATAAAGGAATAAATAGATACAAAAAAAATTTACATAAAAATACAGAAAATAAATGTAGTTGAAAAGAGATGTAGAAATAAATTAATTTTAATAAAGCTAAATAAAGATTTTTATTTGTTTATGTCCTGTTTAATTATTAACTTTACTTATTTGTGCATTTATTTTTTTTTTCATTTATGTCAACGTGTATTTATCTATTTATTATTATCTATTATTTTATTTATTTATTTATATATGCATTTATTTATTTCTGTATTTACTTATGCATATATGTATTTATTCTTGTATTTATTTATTTACTAATATTTATTTATCTATGTATTTATTCATTCTTTTATTTAATAATTTGTGTATTTATTTATTTATGTATTTTTTTCTGTATTTATTTTTTCATGGATACTTGGGCCTTTTTTTGTCCTCCATACACTTCAGCCTCATGTTTTTCTCCTCACCTCCTGGATGTTGTTGTTTTCCAGGATAACTTCCAGAAGCTGATGCAGATCCAGTACAGTCTCAACGGTCACCATGAGATCGTTCAGCCAGGCAGGGTAAGTCATGAAACCAAAGTTCATACCTCAGTTAGTTTTGTCATGGTGGGAGAATTTTCACACAGGTGTAAATTCTGTCAGAAGACTGCCAAATACCAGTTAGTGATATTTTAAACTGCATTTGTTTGCCTGTGTTTAACAAATATAAAGGTGATGCAGAAACATTCAATTTTAAGATTTTATGCAGGAATCTCTTAAGTTTTAGAAAGCACACACGGCACAGCGCAGACTAGTGTGAGCTTCAGAGGAGGATCATCAACATGAAAACACCCAAATGAATGTTTATGCAGAAAAAAACATACCTAACACTCAGAAGTATTTATACTAAACACAAGTACCTACTCCCACCATCACACCACCCTCTTCTGTGCTTCTGTTTTATGCACTGATTATTTTTAACTGTCTTGGAGGGTTATTATTTCGCCCTTGGGCTCCACGTACTGTTGGTGTTATTTTTAAATTCAGACCAAACACATCTGTATGTGCAGGTGTTTCTGAAGGAGGGAACTCTGATGAAGCTGTCCAGGAAAGTCATGCAGCCGCGGATGTTCTTCCTGGTGAGAGACAAATGGAAAATCAAGCTTATGTTATGCTTTCATAATTCTCTTTCCTGTCTTTCCTTTTAAAACGGAGTTGATTTAAATGTGTTTATATCGTCTTGTACCTCCCTTAAAATCTGACTGAATGTTTTTCCTAATGTGTCTTCAGTTTAACGATGCACTCATGTACACCACTCCGGTCCAGTCTGCCCAGTATAAACTCAACAGTGTCCTCTCTCTGGCTGGGATGAAGGTTAGAGACACACTGCGAACACACCACACCGTGATGGAGGCACACTCATGTTTTGTTCTAATCCTTCTCATGTTTGGTGTTGATTTAATTTTCATATTTGATTGCAAATTATTGAGGCTGCAGCAAAACTGTTGATGTATTTTAAATGCGTGTGTTTCTGTGTGTGTCTTCCAGGTGAGTAAGCCCAGCCAGGAGGCCTATCAGAACGAGCTGAACATCGAAAGCGTTGAGCGCTCTTTCATCCTGTCTGCCAGGTCTGCACTCTTTGTAATCAGCACACTCTGCTCATAATAAGCTGCAGAGATTTATACATTTAATTGGTTTTGTTCGCTGTAGCTGAAGGTCCTGGTGTATTCTGTGCTTGCAGCTCGGCGACGGAGAGAGACGAGTGGCTGGAGGCCATCGCTAAGGCGATAGACGACTACACAAAGAAGAAAATAACCTTCATATCAAGTCGAAGCCAGGAGGAGGTGACGCTATAAATCTGTGTGGGTGTATTTTATAATTTCACTCTGTGTGTGTCCGTGTTAACCCTCGATCTCTCTCGACTCAGGCGGAGGGTGTTGTCGACAGCGGGGCCCCGTTGGGTTCAAAGGCGCCCATCTGGATCCCAGACATGAGGGCCACCATGTGCATGATCTGCACCTGCGAGTTCACGCTCACCTGGAGGAGGCATCACTGTCGCGCCTGTGGCAGGGTCTGTACCGCTGTGACTGACACTGCTAATACAACACATTGTTTAGTTAGCCTCCTTCTCATGGCAGCTACATGTGTGTCTTACAGGTGGTGTGTCAGGCGTGCTCTGCCAATAAGTACTACCTGGAGTACTTGAAGAACCAGCCGGCACGTGTGTGTGATCACTGCTTTGCCAAGCTGCAGGAGAACAGTGAGTAAACAAGGACAAGTAATCTGTGCTACAAAGGCAAACAGGAAGTAACTGCACATTTGGTCATAACTGAGTTAAAGGTCCAGTGTGTAGGATTTAGGGGTGTTTAAAGATGAGCCGTTTATATCTACATACCTCCTCCACGGTGTCCGCCATGTTGTTCTACAGTAGCCCAAAACACACAAACCAGACACTGGCTCTAGATAGGGCATTTTTGTGTCGGCCACTGTCACTCTCTTATGCCCAGTTCAGACCAAAGATTCGCGACGAGACGAGGTGAAACAGGCAACTACTTGCAACACGTCGTTCTGCAACGTTCTAAAAACCTGACAGTTCACACCAATGCAACTAGATGAGATGGTGTATCATCTCTATGCAACAACTCTCTGTATTTCTGTTCTGATTTGCAGCTTTTCAGTTTTATTTTCAGGATTCAAGATTCAAGACCTTTATTTGTCCCCGACGGGCAATTGATTCTGCCGCAGTAGCAATACAAACAACAATGACAACAACAAGGTTGACACACACAAGGCAACAGTCACATAAAATCAGCCGTAACTAAATAAATAAAAACGCACACTTGTATAAAATGTGAACTAATGATGATGCTACCTGTACTGTACAGAGTTAGGCAGTGAGATGGCAGAGGGTATGAAGGAGAATTTGTATCTGTTAGTTTTGGCTAATGGTTTTCTGAGGCGGAATATAATATAATTTGTAGCTTCTTAAAATATGAATGAGGATAGTGATAGTGAGATACTGGCTACAGCTGCATTTGTAGCAGTACAACGGTTTCGTCTCGTCACAAATCTTTGGTGTGAACTAGGCTTTACACGCTTAGCAAATGGGAGAAGTTTCAGTTGGTTGCAGTCTGTGGCCTCGCCACTAGATGCCACTAAATCCTACACATACTTTACCATAACAAGTGTTAAACCATCAACAGATTTTATTACTGGAAGAAAAAAACAGCGAGGAAAATAGATAAGAACTAAACTGTAGTTGACGCACTCTGGCTAGTGCAGGCTAGCTGGTGAGATAGCCATTGCTAAAGCTAATTGACCAAGCTTTTCCAGTTTCCTGGAATTGAAAAATCAATTTTTAAGCTCTAAAATCTCAGTAACTGAGCTTGTTATACTATAAAAATAAGACACTAGCTAAATATGAAATAATGATGTAGAGAAAAAAGTAACACCAATAAACTAGTCCTGCTAGAAGCTAACTAGCGTAGCTTAGCAGAGTAGCTGTACCTGCAGTCTCTGACTCAAGTGGAAATCATGTGATTGCATGTGGTTAAGTTACCTTTAAATCACATATTTAAATGTATTTCATTGAAGATTCATTTAATAGACTATTTAATAGTTTGTTCAGATAGCTGAAGAAAAAACATTTTATTTGTAGGTATTGTATTTTCTTTCTCGATTGTTAAAACGACATAAGAAATCCAAATGTAAAATCCACATAAAAGGATTTACAACTTGTATATGAGTTAATCAGTCCACCTGAGAGCCTTCAAACGTCAGACCTGTTTTCTTTATTTCATTGTTTGTGTTTTTAAAGTAGTATTGTCACTGATATATCTTCTTCCTCTGTGCCATAGAGTTTCATCTTTATCCAAAAACTGTTTCATGCCCATCAATGAGCCACTCTGTTGCCCTGGGTGACATGTTGCTTCGTTACCATGAATACACACACTGTAGTTTATTTTGACACAGTCCCGCATACACCGTCCTGCTGCCACAAATACACACAAGAGTCCCAGATGTGAATGAATCCGCTGCTGAAAATAGTCCCCAACAAATGCACCAATTCCTCCTCTTTCACTAACAATTGGTGAAAACTACCAGCTGTTTAATGTTTGATTATAAGGCCTTTGAAACACGACACAACATGATTCAGATTTTTTTGCTTGTGATGGAAACATACGGTTTTGGTCAATTAATTTTCAGGTGACCGCTGCGCCTCCACATCAGTCTCTCCTATCAAATCTGGAGCTTTCTCCTTCACCAGGAAACAGAAGAAGATTCCTGCTGCACTAAAAGAGGCAAGCAACATAAATTAACAATAATGTTTTGCATTATGTTTGTATTGAGTATGTGAGGGAATTCATTTTCCTCGTGCTGTTCTTCCAGGTGTCAGCTAATACTGAGAACTCCTCCATGAGCGGCTACTTAAACCGGTCAAAAGGCAACAAGAAGCAGTGGAAGAGGCTGTGGTTTGTCATCAAGAATAAAGTCCTGTACACCTACGCTGCCAGTGAGGTATGCACATTGTGTGGTTTTGTTGTTTTACTACACTGTAGCTTTTGATTTGTTTTTGGTTGACTGATTATTTCTGCCTCCAGGACGTCGCAGCATTGGAGAGTCAGCCCTTGCTGGGTTTTTTCCTGAGGGAGGAGAAGAACGGTCCAGCTCAGAAGCTGCAGTTCAAGCTGTATCACAAAAACACGCTGTTTTACATCTTTAAAGCTGACGACATCCCCACTGCACAGAGGTATCAGGGCTAAAATCAGGCCTTAATGTTGTAATCCTAGATTTCAATCAGGGCTAATTTGGTGACCTGTGTTTAATATGATAACAGCAAGTGCAGTTTGATACGACGGGAAACACTCACTGAACACCTACATTGTCAGAAATACAGCAGAAGAGCGGCAGGTGTGTCTGTTTATAGTGCAGCCAAACAAACTCGCGTTGTTTTAATAAAGAAGTCAGTCAATAATATTTATAACTATGATTTGATATGAGAGGCCTTCTGTGGTGGTCCACCATCTCAATAGAAAACAACAGGCATAGGAGGATGTAAGTGCAGTACTTGAAACAGCCGTCATGGAGGAGAAGCTCCTGGTGGTACTCCCCATGATCCACCCTCTTTTTTAGGGTCTCATGTACCCACACAGATCTCTGTTTATCTGCTGACAGCCTCTCACCCTCAACCAGAGCTACAGACAGTACCCTCTCCCTCAACATTTTAGGGGCTAGATACTAAAACCCTAAAAAAGAGGGTGGATCACGGGGAGTACCACCAGTTGGTCCAGGAGCTTCTCCTCCATGATGGACGTTTCCAGGCATATTGTAGGCTGACTCAGGGGCAGTTTGACAACCTGCTGTCTATCGCCACCTGCTATCACGAGTTTCTCCTCCATTGTTTACCAACTGTAAACTTGTTGTCGTGACCATGATGAAAAAAGAGATGACGTGGGGTGCATTTCCGCTTTGAGTTGGAAGTTTTTTCAACTCTAGATGTTCAGAGCGCTCTGGCAAAAACACGAGGCACACAGCAAAGCAAAAAAGCGAGCAAAAAGCTTAATTCTCATTAAAAACGATAACAAAAAGCCGCCTCCAGCTGCTAAAACACTTTCTGTGTGATCAGGACCTTAATCTGCTTTTCTCTGTTTCACAGAGTAGATGAGAAACTTAGCATTGTGCTCTACTGTCTTTTCTACCCAGTGAGAGCTGACTACAATGTCTCCAGTTGCAGCCAGAGACAGGCTAACTCGCGGATGTAGACTCACTTTTTAACCTGCTGGTAGACTCATCTGGTCTTTACAAACAGAAACAATGTATGTGCTTATTTGCATATAGAGCCGGGAAGTGAGATCCATTCCCAAGTGGTCACTTAAAGTTCCTAGAGAAATGCATTCTGATTCCAGGCATGACAAGAACCCTCAAAACAGGATTGTGGAATCCACCACTGACAATGAAAACCACCATATAAAGATAATTTCTATGTATTCTTTAACATACTTTCTTCATTTTAATGTGCTTACCCAGTGGTGGCTAATTTCCTGTTTTGTATTTTTGTCCTCAGATGGATAGAAGCCTTCCAGGAGGCGATGATTCTCGAACAGTAACTTGGTTTTACAGCAGTGACGTCGCATCACAGCCCCGGAGCCAGTTGACAGACAACTCACGACCCCTGACTGATCTCAGGTCGGCGGTCACCAGCTCAGGAAGGACTCCGGATGGACTGTTTACTTCAAACAGAGCCCTGCTGCAGAGCGCCACATCCCTGTGTGTGGAGGACAACCAGACTGCTTCTCCCTCAAAGAACTGGATTCTGTTTCTCTAAACTGATTTTCTGCCAACAGCATCTCCTGCTGACGCTGAGCAGAGGTCAGAGTTAAAACATTTGTTGCAGCCGTGGGTCAAAGTTCAAGTCCAGAAGCATGTGTGTGGAAGTGTGACAGAACAGATTTCAGGAATATTTAAAGCCCTCGGAAATCCAAGGAAGTCTGGGAATTATTTTTAACTGCAAAAGGATGAAGGAATTACTTTTCTGTGTGAAACAAAATACGCGAAACTGTCTGCCTTCATTCGAGCATGTTGTAGTTTAAAACCTACACTTTGATATTAAAAACACACACACACACACACACACACATTATGAATATTAACCTGGTGAGATGTTTCACCTGAATCATGGATGCAAAGTGTCGCCGATGTCAGTGCAAGAGTTTAAAGATGCAACAAGGTGGGATTTAACTGTGAAAATCCAGCTTCTACAGAGAAACAGGAAGTTGACGTTCTGCTCTTTAGGTCGATCTCTCTGGTTTAGAGATTTTACTCCTTTATTTTTTAAAATTTAACACACAAACATTTAAATGATGGGTTCAAGAAACATCCTGGAGAAAACTGGAAATATCATGAATAATGTAGATATTTTTCATACAATTAAAATGTATTTTTTTGCCTGTTTTGCCACATTAGAAATGGTTAATGGGTAAAACTGTGTATATGGACATGACAGAGCAACATTGACCTTTTTTATATCAAAGCCGAGAGCTAATATTTATAAAATAGGAAGCTTTATTGTTTGAGAAGCACAGGCTGCCGCTTATTTTGGGAGTCAGGGTTTGTTGGGAAATATGTTTCCATCGGTTATTCTTTTAAATTTAAAAGAGAACGTACAAGAAAAAGGGGATTTTTTTTTTATGGGCAAATACTGTGGAGAGTATACGTGAACTATATTTCTGAGGAAATGCTCAAAAGAGAGGAAACATTTTGGATTTTGATGCTTGTTTTTGCAGACGTTGTGCCTTATATCTCCTGTTTTTGAGATGCAATAATATAGCTGCTCTGTTTCTACACTAAATAACACTTACAGTTTGACTACTCGCTGTCTGGCCAGGATACTCGAGGTTTGCAGTTTTAACAACCGTCATTTTTCAGGTCAGTTTCTTCTTGGTTAGATCGCCATGTGTTGCACTACCCCGTTCCACAGTGGGAGAATCCAAACCCTGTCTTTTTTAGTGAAGGAATAAAACTTTTAGCTCATTGGCTGCTGTCATCAAACAGTTTCACATGTGCCTCATTCCGATCTGTGTTAGCGAGGAGCTACCAGGCATGTTCTCCATGATTGTACATTAACAGCAACCATCTGTAAACATCTACTCTATCAGAATTAGAGTCTCCTATAAACAACGATTCTAAACTGTCAGGCAACAGTTTTTAATAAAATATATATAAATGTAAATCCTGTCCTGCTGTGTTAATTTCCTGTTTTGCTGCTTCAAAGGATGCGACGCAGCGAGCTGTGTACAACCACTGTCACTACTTAATTGCACGGAGCAGACAGATGCATGTGGGAGGCAGTAGTTCAGCTGTTAGTTGCATTTATCGTCTGGGTCTGTCTTTGAAGAGGCGATTAAAGTGACTGTTTGAGAGATATCAAGGCATTTTTTACGAGTGACTAATGACGCAGGAGCTCCGAATTTAATCTCATGCTCTATTTCCCCTCGTATCTCCCCGAGCTGCGATACTGGGCTGTGTTGGATCCACCCTCATGGGCAGTGAAGGGAGGTCGTCTGTTGAGAAATTGTCCTTTAATTAAAAGGGAGTTCAAGTCTGTGTCAGGAAACGTCGGCTCTGCTCCCGATGTGTCCCTGAGCATCACGCTGAATCCTCCAGGGTGGGTTGCTGAATTTGCAGATTTACTTTGTACATTGACCACTATCAACAATAACAGGGTTGATGTGTGAGTGATGCTGTGAAGGATTTGAGAATTCATAGAAACTAATAAGAGTGTACGCCAGGAATGAGCGAGACATCGGCTCACTGATCTACCTCACCAGGATCTACAGCAGTGACATCTGAACGTCATTCGGTCTAGTTAACTGTGGTCGGATGGTGTCAAAGAGAGGGAAGACGATCAGAACCGAGGTGTTTGGAATACCAGAAGGCAGCATAGCAGATGTTCAGGACAGCTACAAATACCTTGGGGTCCTGCAGACAAATGGGAACCATGAGGAGGCTGCAAGGAAGTCAGCCACAGCCAAATACCTAAACAGTAAGACAGGTCCTGGAAAGTTGGCTGAATGGAAAGAACAAGGTCCGAGCCATTGACAAATACGCCCTGCCAGTCATCAGATACCTCGCTGGTATAATAAGCTGGCCAAAGGAAAGAGGAAGCTTCTCACAATGCATGGAGGGTTTCATCCCAAGTCCAGCACCCTCACACTGTACGCTAAGCAGAACGAGGGAGCCACTGGCCAGGAAGAAACAACCAAGAACCAGGGATACATCAGAAAGATGGCTCCCAAAGATTAGGCTGCTGAGTGAATACCTCAGGCAGCAGAAGAGGAGGACAAACCATCATGGAAAGACGAGCCCCTGCACGGCATGTACCACCAACAGATTGAAGAAGTGGCTGACATCAAGGAATCCTACCAGTGGCTGGAAAAGGCCGGACAGAAAGACAGCACAGACGCATTAATCATGGCAGCACAGGAACAGGAAGCAGGGGTCCATAACCAAGTGGCTGGCGGTCCATTGGTCCGACATCCCGTTGTTCCAATATGTGATTGCCACTTTCTTTTTCATTTTAACCCACACCATGATCTTTTCCTAACCCTAACCAAGTGATTTTTGTGCCTAAACCTGACCAGACCTTAACCACAGGGCATCATGATGATTTCGGAACAACGGGACTTCAGAACAATGGGTTTAATATGGTCAGAACAATGGGATGTCGTCGGATCAATGGGTTGTCGTACCAATGGACAGTTCCCTGGCTGGCATAGTGTACAGGAACATCTGCACTGAGTATGGGCTGGAAGTCCCAAGGTCAGAATGGAAGACACCTCCTAAGGTGGCTGAGAATGACAGAGCTAAGATCCTGGGGGACTTCCAGATCCAGAACTGGTGATGGCTAACCAACCGGACATCGTGTTGATTGCTGAAATAACAGAAGAAGACAGTGGTGATAGATGCAGCAATCCAGAGCAACAGCAACATCAGGAAGAAGGAACACAAGAAGCTGGAAGGGCTGAAAGAGGTGCTAGAGAAGATGTGGGGAGTAAAGGCAACAGTGGTGCCAGTGGTGATCGGAGCACTGGGAGCTGTGACCCCCAGACTGGGAGAGTGACTCCAGCAGATTCCAGGTCCAACATCTGAGGTGTCTGTCCAGAGGAGTGCAGTCCTAGGAACAGCTAAGATACTACTCCCAGGACTCTAGTAGAGGACCTGAGCTTGAGGAAGACACACCACCATCAGTTTTTACATAGTTAGCTTTGCTTTGTTAAATCGTTTAAGTTATATTATAATATTATATAAGTATATTAATATTAATATTCCATAAGTACTACTGTTACCGTACACATTTTTATCTGTATGCGGAACTAAAGGTTCACAGGCTGGTGTTGGTGTTCCACTCGGACCTGTTTTTAACGCGCAACAGTCCGTCTCTGTAAATCTTCCGTCTCAAGATGGCGGAGTATGCGAACCTCGTCCGAAGGGCTTTGGGACAGTTACGAGGTCATGGAGGAGTCCGAGGTTTTCTGTTCCAGTTTTTCAGGTCGGTTTAAACACACTGTTTGCATAATGTGTAACGAACCTCTGTTAAACACCGAGAGAGATTTATAAAGCTGTGTGACCCGGGTCTGTGTGTTCAGAGCACAGCTAGCATGTTGACAGCTAACATTGAACAAAGCAGCTAACCGGAGTCTGGACCTCCAGCAGACCTTAATGTTAATGTGTGTGGCTGGAATGTTACACCAAACTCCATTTAGAAATTCCCTAATTTAAGTTTGTGTTGAGCAGCAGCAGCCATTTCGTTTTAAATCAACTAAAAATCAAGACTGGGGAAAACTTAAGTAACCACTAATTAATTCGGCTCAAAAGTCAGTCACCAAGAGCTGTTCATTAAAGCAACAAGTCAGCTTCTATGTTTGGTTCACAGTGCACTATGTGTTTTGGGGCTGTAAACCTAACCGTCATCATTTCCTGGCAGGGTGAATGATATAAAGACCGGAGCCCTGATTGGTGTGGATAAATATGGGAACAAATACTATGAGGACAAAAAGCACTACTTCTTTGGTGAGTCCAGTTTCTCCACATGTGCATGATGTCACTAGCAGAACATTTGCATTAAAAATATTGATGCTTTATATGGGATTTTGCATATGATGATCAGATGTGGGTGTTTTGTTTTTTTTTTCTTCATACATATGTGAGTTTTGTCTGTGTCCACATGTGTTCAGGACGTCACCGCTGGGTGATCTACACCACAGAGATGAACGGGAAGAACACCACATGGGAGGTGGACGGCAGCATGGTTCCAGCTGAATGGTACGATCTGTCATTTGTTAAAAGATTGATTTAAGCAACAACCATTTGGGCTGAAACTCTTTGTGTTTTCTGGGCAAAATTGTCACATCTACTTTTCATCTATTCATCATATCTGTTTTTTGAGAATGTATTTTCTTTTGCACAACTTAATGAATTCTACATTATACCAGTTCCTCTTCATATATGTGGTATATGATAATGAGTTAGAAATACCTTACTGATCTTGTGGGGAAACTGTGATTCATTACAGTCGCTCTGATGTAAAGAATAGAGATATATAAGAAGAATAAGAGTATGAAAAAGAAGTATGTAAATATAAAGCAATGAAAGAAAATAAAATTGAAATGAAAATATGCATTATACATCAGTGTTTAACACTTAAGATATGAAAAATATAAAAAAATAAAATATGTGTCATCACTGTGCTGAGGCTGTAAGTGAGAAAATTTACCTACTATATTTATCAATAGAATAGAGTAAGATTAAACATAAGAAATATGTGCATTGTATGTTGAATGAATATATACATTCAAGAGATGTAAGTGAGACTTAAGTCGTATACTGAAAAACATTGCACAGTTGAATAATTGCACAGAATATTGTGGCAGTGTTCTTGGATTAAAAGCTGAGGTTTAGTTTTTGAGGAATTATAAAAATAAACTGTTGTGTTTAGTGGACTCAGACTGTCTAACTTTACTCTACTGTCTTGGCAAGTAAAATAATTGATTTAGATTATTTCCCTTCCCGCAAAAATACAACTTTAACTTCAAAGACAGAAATCTCAAAAAAAAAAAAAAAGCATAACAAGAAAGATTTAGCTTGACAACTACTGTTATGTAAAGGGTTGGGCCCCTTTCCCATGTTTTTATGTCTAAGTGACTAACAGGAAAAACAATATTTGAAATTGATCCAGTATTGAGTGAGAGCACTGCAGCTGGCAGCTTCAATGTATGTCCACTAAAAGTGTACAGAAGCTACCGTCAGCTACTATCTTCATGTTCACTCTCCAGGCATCGCTGGCTGCACTGTATGACAGACGACCCCCCCACCACACATCCACCAGAGCCAAAGAAGTTCCTGGCTGAGGTCCACCAGTTCAACGTGAGCGGCAGCTCAAGCCAGTACGTGCCCTACTCCACCACCCGCAAGAAGATCCACGAGTGGGTTCCACCTAAAGCTGGAGCTCAGTGAGCTCTGACTGCACATTTGTAAATTATGGTTTCCTGCCAACACCTCCTCAATAAAATCTCTATACAGACATTTATGATGGGAGTGGCTGTTCTTACATTAAAATGATGATTATTTTTTTTAGAGATTTACAGGTTGAGAATGATTGATCTGACAGACAAATTATGTTCATACTCACGTCATTTTAAATAGTAGTGGGGATCCCACAGTTTCCAAAGTTAGAGAATATATCAGGTTGATTTTTGGAGGAGGGAAATGTCCCCAATGATGCACAAGACATGTTGAATATTTACATTTGATGTGATGGAGCAGCCATAAAATTACTTTCACTTGTTATAAACTTGATAAAGCTTCAATGAAGAGCTGGAACAACACGTAGAGTAAATATGTGATACTTGAAGACACTTATAGGGGGTTTATAAAGGGTTTTCTTCCTCTTTCAGAATTATGAATTAAGCATTTCCATGCACATGTTTAAAGGGAATATGTCACTGTTGAGATTCTTTTTTGTTTTGTTTTTTTTTTGGAAGATTTTTTTTGGGCATTTTTAGCCTTTAATGGATAGGACAGACAAGTGTGAAAGGGGGAGAGAGAGAGGGAGTGACATGCAGCAAAGGGCCACAGGCTGGAGTCAAACCCGGGCGGCTGCGGCAACAGCCTTGTAGATGGGGCACCTGCTCTATCCACTAAGCCACCGACGCCCC